CTCTTCTGTAAAAACAAAAATAAAAATGCTGAGGTAGAAAGAAGAAATAAGGCCTGGGGGTGTGGCTCTGCGTTGGAGTCACATGCGGGGGCCCTGGGTTTGATCCTCAGCACCACATAAAAATAAATAAGTAAAATATAGGTATTGTGTCCAACTACTTCTAAAAAATAAATATTTACCGAAGAAGAAGAAGAAGAAGAGGAGGAGGAGGAGGAGAAGGAAGAAAGATGAAACAAGATTTGGTACAAAGTTTATATATTGTGAACTTCTTAAAAGTACAAAAGGGGTTGGGTATATAGTTCAGTTGATAAAGTGCTTGCCTCACTTGCACAAGGCCCTGGGTTCAATCCTCAGCAGTACAAAAAAATTGGGAGTTGGGTGAAGATACATGAGGTTTCATTATACAGTTGGCCCTACATATCTGACAATTCGATCAATAGTTTGAAAAAAATATATATATATATATATATTTAAGTTGCATCTGACTATGCGAAGTTTTCCCTGCCTGTAGTCCCAGCTACTAAGGCTTCAAGGCCCCTCTGGGCCTATTTTTTAAATTAAAAAAAAAAAAAATGTTTTTTCAGTGCTGATATCCAAATCAGGACCTTGCATGTGCTAGGCAAGCAGTCTACCACTGAGCTACATTCCCAGCCCCTATTTTTTTTTTGCTTTTGAAATAAAACTGCATACCTGCAGGCTCAGCTACAAAGGGCAGGCCACCTATCAGTTACCCTCAGTTGGACAGGAGGCTGGAGCAGTTTATCCAGTTCCTCCCCTGCATGCTGGCAGGTGGCCCAGCAAAGGTGTCAGGAGGGCCCCCTAGGGTAGCAGGAATGGGGCCTCCTCTCCCCCCACAGCCAGGAGCCTGATCCTGCTATAATCCCTAGCAATTCCAATTTCCCTGGGGATTCCAGTCCAGCCAGATGGGGGTTGGGCTCCCCCAGGAGAGAGCAAGGGGAGGGGCACCTCTCCTGGTCTGAACACCATTATTACAGTTCCCTTGCCAGAGATAAAAGGCACAAGACTGCCTGGGGGATTAATCGTTAGCTTCCCGCCTGACCAGTCACCAGGGCAGCTGGGAAATGGAAGTCCATCAGAGAAGCAATCTACAATGAGGAAACCTGGAGTTTGTAATGCGCTGAGGGATGTATGCCAGTTGGCACCTGGTGGGAAGGTCTGTTATCTTTCTGGAGCGATCTCAAGGGCACCTGTAGGGCCTCTGGATCACAAGTCTTTTTCCTATTGGTGCCTGAAATTCCCAAGATCTCAGCTCCTGGGTTTTGTTTTTTTCCTACTCCCTGGTTGAGAAGCTAAGGAAAGCAGCACCTTCCCACCTCATTGACAGAGTTGCATACAAGCTCAAGGGGGTTCACAGGTCCCCCAGAAGCCCATCCACAGATAGCAGATTAAGTACCCAGGAAGGAGTAGTTCCAAGGCTTTCATAGCTTGGAAAAAAGCAAGTCAGCGCGCAACACGCTCTTTAAAATGCAAATGACCCTAGAGGGTCAAATGACTAACTCTCCTGTGTGAAAGGTTTTCCCCATTGAGAACAGAAATAGCCCACTAGGCTTTCCCTGTGGGGGTAGGGGAAAGGACAGCCTGGGGCAGGGGAGGCTTCCTGGGGACATTGGATTTTTACCTAAAACTGGGAAGGAAAGGTATTGGGCAAGGAGTGCTGAGCACACTCAGAAAAAGATTATGAATTCAGTGTTATCAAGGTCTCCATTTTATGGAAGAGGAAACATGGGCTGGGGGAGATTGAAGTGTCTTAAGCCATCCAGATAGTGGCAGCATTGGAATTTGAACACTGGGCTATTCTAAGATCAATACCCTGAGAGCATAGCTCAATGTCACCAGCACAGGCTCACCACACTGACCATTTGATCCCCATAGCGAGGTGTTCTGTTTAATAGAAGAGGGGACAGAGGCAATTACCTGTGTTGCCCAGTCACACTGGGCCCACCCCCACATGGAACCCCTCTGTATTCCCTCAGTCTGAATGGCCAGGGGGTAGCTACCCTTCCAGGAGCTTGGAGAAGGACTTGCCGAGAAGTCTAAAGAGCACATCAGGCCTGACTGTCTTCACTGCCCCTAATTGTTTTCTAAAATCCTTTTTATTGAATTATCCTAGCGTAATGGAAGAATCTGGGAGAGTCACCACAGAGTTACAAGGCCAGGTCTTGCTGGGTAGAAGAAAGCAAAGTCCCAAAGGCTCCCTGGGTCCAGTGATGGTATGAAATATGTATTTTTACATAACTGGGAGGAAAAAAAATAAACGGACAAGGCTGCCCCATGGGGGAAACGCCTCTTTCTGTATTTCCATTATCCTGTTTAATGCACCGTCCAGCAGGAGCCTCAGTGGGAAAGGAAATACCGGAGCCTTTCTCCTCTGAGCCTCCTGGTGGGTTAAGAGGCAGAGGGAGCCAAGATGCAGAAATCCAAAATTTTGGGTGTGTGTTTGGAAACTCATTAAACTGAAGGGGTCAGCCTGGGGGGGAGGGGCTGCCAGGAAACTGTTTTGGTTTGAGACAACACCTCTCCTCTGCAGAGGAGAAAGTACTCCTTGTGGGTGGGCTCAGATTCACCTTCAGCTCTTGCGAAATACTCAACATGGCCTTCCCCATGAGGGAGGCAAATGCGGTTGGGCCTTTCAACAGTACAATGTCCACACCAAACATTTATTGAACGCTTGCTGCTACATGCCAAGTACCCTGTTTAGTGATTGTTTTTCCATTAGCCAGAGTCAATTCATTTATGCAGATGAGAACACTGACTTGCTCAAGGTCACACAGCTATGGAGTGGCAGAAACATACTGCTTCATGGTTCTGACTGTGCTTGGATGAAGGCAAGGGAGATGTCCTTGTCAGCAGAGCCAAATTGAGCAGATAGTGGCCAGCCACAGGCAGACAGGGAAACTATGTGATCTAAGTTTTGCCTGTCTATTCTGTTTTTGATCCTAAGATTACTTTACCAGGGACAGAATTCTCTAGAGAAGGTGATGGTGGCTGTGGTATTAAGATCCCAAATCTGCCGATCAGGAGATCATGGGTTCTGGTCTTGATTTTTCTTCTTTCTTTCTTTCTTTTTTTTTTTTGGGCAGGTGGTGGGGGAGGTCTTGCTATGTTGCTGAGCTGGCCTCGTACTCAGGATCCTCCAGTCTCAGGCTCCCAAATTGCTGGGATTACAGGCATATGCCAATGTACTGGCTGCTCTTGGCTTTCACATTGACTTATTATGTGACATTGAATGAATTATGTGACAATAACAAGTTTGAGTGATCTCTTAAGGGTCTCTTCCAGGTCAGCATTTAAAAAAAAATGCAGATTGAAATCCCTCCCAACTGGGAGGGATACTGTCTGGGGCCACATGAGGTGAAGATGGTGGAGAAAGGGCCCTGGGGTCAGTGGGAGGTGTGTTTCAATCCTGTACCAGCTCCGACTAGCCTCAGCCTATTCATTCCTCAATTACACTTCTATTGAATGGGAATAGTAACACAGCTCTTAGGTGTTTTGTTTTTGTTTTGCAGTGCTGGAGATTTAATCTAGGAGTTTATGCATGACAGTATTATGATGACAAGTATTGTCACATCTCTAGCCCTTTAATGGTTTCCAGATGAAATTAAAGGAGATGGTCAATGTCAAGTATTTGGCACAGAGCCTGCAAGTAACTTCAAGACCCTGCACCTACTGTTTCTATTATTGCCCCTTACATTTGTACAGAACTTCTTTGGCTCAGAAACTTGATCGTATTAGTTGTATGGGTGTCTCACAACACCGTATGGAAGCATTTGTGATCATTATTCCAAGGCTTGAAGAGACGGTTCTGACCCAGTGGGTCAATTTGCTGATTCACTAACCTATAGAGAACTGCAGTTAAGAGTAGATTTTGCTGGGAGAGGTGGTGTATGAAATCACAGCTACTCCAGAGGCCAAGGAAGGAAGATGGCAAGTTGGAAGCCAGCCTGTGCAATTTAGTGAACTCCTGTCTCAAATTAAAATTTAAAAACTGGGGATGTAGCTCAGTGGTACAGGGCCCTTGGGTTCAATCTCCAGTACCAAGAGGGGGAAAAATTATAAAAAGAACTAGAAGCTGGTGCGATGGCTTATGCGTGTAATCCTTGGAGACTGGAGAGGTTGAGGCAGGAGTACTGAAAGTTCGAGAACAGCTTTAGGAATTTAGTGAAACTACCTCACAATAAAAATAAAAAGTTTTGGGGATGTAGCTCAGTGGTAAAGTGGCCCTGAGTTCAACCACAGTACCAAAAAAAGGGCGGGGAGCCATTGGGTCAAGAGCTCAGTGGTAGAATGCCTCTGGGTTCAATCCCCAGTATTGCAGAAGCTAACCAACCAACCAACCAACAAACCTAAAAGCTGGGCGTGGTGGCTCATGCCTGTAACCTCAGTGACTGAGGAGGCTGAGGCAGAGGATAGCAAGTTCGAGGGCTGCATGGGCAATCTGGTAAAATAAAACAAAAATAGCTGGGGATGTAGCTCAGTAGTAGAACACCCCAGGTTCAATCCCCAGTACCCCAAAGAAAAAGAGAGAGAAGAAAAAGGGAACCAGATACCAGATAAAGGGTAAAGTGTAAAGCCCTTTCTCATCCCAGGTCTTAGAGTAGGTCACCCTCAGTGCTGGGATTCGAACACCATGGAATAAGAACTCACAGACTCTACCTTCTACAGACCAGTGTGTCTACAGGTCCGCGCTAAACTGGGAGGCGGGGCTGGGGGCGGGTCGTCCGCCCTTTCCGCGGAGGAAGCTGAAGGCTCCACTGCTCATTGGCTGAAACCGGCAGGTGCGTCCTCAGCCAATCAGCGGCACCGGGGGTGGTGCCTTCGGGCTCACCTGGCGGCTGCTGCGCTGCCCAGCTCAGTGGCTTCGGGAGCCTCCATAGCACCTGTGAGTTCGCTGAAATCCAGCTAGCCTCTAGCTTGGCCCATCCCGGCCTGACCCGACCGCGCCCGGCCCCCGCCTTCGCTCGGCACCCACACGGCCCGCCATGGGCCCTCTGTGCCGCAGCCTCTCTGCGCTCCTGCTGCTGCTGCAGGTAAGTTGAGTACCCTGACTAGGGGGAATACCTTCCGGCCCCATGATCCGCGCTGAGCCCGGAGCCCTTTCCTCTCTCCTGCGGTCCTAGTTTCCCTCTTCCAAGGAAGTTTGGGTCCAAAGGGCCAGAACGGCTTGGAAGCTGCGCGGAGCTCTGGATTCCGCCGAGATGTGACTGGGAGAGGGATGAGGGAGAGCGGGACTTTTCCCGCCCCCTCCTGCCAATACCCTGGTGGGGGGCGCGCCAAGCTGCAAACTCTGGGTACTTACTCCGGGTTGGCCGCTGAATGAATTTGGGGCGGGCTTTGGGGGTGTGAAACAGGATGGAGGTCGGGTTGTGGACAAGGGGAGTCACGGTGCAAGAAAAGGGGGATCAGATAAAGAAAGGAGCATTAGTAGAAATAAAGGCACCTTCCATGTAAAGAAAGGATGGTAAATAGGAACCAGGGCCCCTTGGGATAAGAAAGAGGGCCAAAGTTGTCAGAGCGCCCTAGGTATGAGGAAGTAGAATCGAGAGCGCTCCCGGTCTAAGGAAAGTAGGGTCGGTAAGAGTAAAGACATCTCCAATGAGATAAAAAAAGAAGACGAGAAAGAAAGGTGGCTAGATTGTCAGGAGATGACCCAGTGTCCTCCTCTCCCAGGAGTTCGTGGGGGCTTAGCTGCGGGTTTCGGGATAGGAGAGGATGACGTCGGTGCCTGCCCCGGGGTGGGGGTGCCTCCCACAATCCCTATGCCGGGAGCCAGGGAGAGGCAGCGGGGTTGTTGGTTTCGGTGTGGGCGGGAGGGAACCCCCCAAGTCACTCGGGTTCGGTACCTTTTGTTCACTCCAGGTTTCACTATGGCTCTGCCAGGAGCCGGAGTCCTGCCTTCCCGGCTTTAGCGCTGAGAGCTACACGTTCACTGTGCCTCGGCGGCACCTGGAGAGAGGCCGCATCCTGGGCAGAGGTGAGAGCGCACTGCAGGTGTCCCTGGGCTGAGTAAGGAGGGGTAGGGAAGGTGCCTAGAAATTGCACTTCCACACCTCTAGGGTGGAGTGGACAACCCTCTCCCGACTTTCTCAAACACCCCCTTGGAATTTACACAAATGCATGGGTCTAAAGTTTTATCGAGGTTGAGGACTGTGGTTGAGCCCTGTCTAGTTAACTTTATAGGGCTGGAGATGGGCGGGAGCATTTAGAGGACATTAGTATTTCTCATATCCCTGGCCACTGGAGACAGTCTTATCATTTCAGATTGCAAAAACCGTCTGGGTGGGACCGTGGGACAGAAGTATTACCGTTTTATAGATGAGCAAATTGAGGCTCAGAGGGTGACTCCCCTTGCCTAGAGTCATCTGAACAGGAATCTGAATCAGGATCTGATTCCCAGGCACCATTATGCACCATCTAGGGGATGACTGAAGAGCCACCTGTGGCTGTGGCTTTTGTTAGAGATGAAAACATTTTGATACAGGTACTATTTACCTAAAGAATAATGATTCCTTTTTTTTTTTAAATGAAAGCACAGTAGCTCTGACTCAGGGGATGGAAATGCATACAAACACCCAATATATTTCAGGACTTATCACTGTGATAATCTAGTGTTTGCTTCTTTCCACTTCACTGTTGGGCAGGCCTGGAAGCAAGGGAAAAGGCTGGTTTCCCTCTGGTTTCACTAATTCCCAGGTGCTTACTTTGTATCAAAAGCACATTCTCTTCCCTCATGATTATTGTTGATTGGGCAGTAATAATAGTAAAAGAAACACTTTTAAAAGAGAAATTTCCCATAGTTCCTCCTGGAGGGAATACTTCTACTGTGTTTATTCTTATAGTCTTTGGCCATGTGAAAAATTTACAGCAATCATGCTGTTGTCTTAAATTTTGGAATTTGTTCAAACTGTGCATGGTGTGTTTTACAGAGAAACTGCAGTTTGATTGAATAGCCATATTTGCTTTTCTGAGACCCATCTGTGTCTGGAGCTTTCTGTATGATGGTCAGTGATGACTCATTCACTCTCTACTTGATGTTCTGCCTTGGCTGCCCAAGGAGTAAACTGAGATGTAGGGACAGGGACACTCCAGCCCTGTCTTCTGAATTGCACATTCTAGCAGGTTCCTGAGTATCCCAGGATCCCTTTAGATGCACTGTTGGACATGGGCAGTGAGAGGTGAAAGGGTGTGGGTGGCCTGGGGTGTTCGGATGAGTGTTAATGGGCAGTGAAAACTGGCTTCTGGGAGGAGGCAGTCTTGACCCAGCCTTGTAGATTAGGAGAGGGGTTAGAAATGAGAGGCAGGTGTATGTGTGAGCACATGTATGAGGTGTGCTGATTGCTTTGTATTCCCATGCCAGTTCCTTTGGTAGTACTTAGGGAGGGTTAGTCTGTTTTTGTCCTATCCCTGGGAATTGAATCCAGGGGTGCTCTATTACTGAGCTATATTCCCGGTCCCTTTTCTTTTTTTATTTTGAGATAGGGTATTGCTAAGTTGTTGAGGCTGGTCTTGAACTTGTGATCTGCTTGCCTCAGTCTCCTGAGTAGCTGGGATTGTATGCTCCTCTGCACCCAGCTACTACTAGTCTTAGGAGAGTGGAAACCATTCTATTTTGCAAGTGAGGAAACAGGTGAAGACCAATTTAATCTGCTGAAGGATCCACAGTTGGTCTTTCTCTCCCTCTTTCCCTTTCTCTTTTTCAATGAGAGAGAGAGATTTGAAAGATGAACAAATAAGAAGAAAGGTATTAAAGTATTTGGGTGATTAGTGTCCATTGTGAAGTAGACTAAGGACTGAGGTGTTGATGCCCCCCACCCCGAAGCAAGTGGTGATGACAGAGATGGTGCAATTAGGTGAGAGGTGGGGGGTGACCTGGGGCTGGTGGTTTGGTAGAAACACATTCCACAAGCTTCTTGTGTGGCTGGTTCCTGGTCCTTTTGTGACTGCAGTCCCCACCCCACTCCACAGTTTTCCTGACTTTTAACTTTTTTTGCCATTCTATACTGTAGGATCTCTTTGTAGCAGTTGAATGTAGGATTGCTCCAGGACAGAAGTCCTTCTGTAAAATCACGCATTTGACTTCAGGAACCGGCTTTGTGATTTCAAGATGTGGTCAGAATTGAGGATGGTGGCCTTGCTGTCTTTAGACAGTCCAGGGAAATAAAGGGACAGGTTTAGACATGGGCTTCGTGAAGAATTTGCTGCCCAGGGATTTCAAATAAGGAACCCATGGCTGAAGTGTCACAATAGGGTTTTGACTGAACTGAGGGGACTTCTGTATGGTTCGCTGGGGTCATTCTTGTACCCTATGTGATTAGCTCCATAATTGAAGTCTTGTGTTAATTCCTTTGTTTTTTTTTTTTTTTTCTCTGTGGAGAATGTTTAAAAAAAAAAAAAAAAACCTCAACTATAAACTGATTCTTTAGAGTTGCTAATTATTTTCCTTTTTCTTAGGACAAACTGGTTTGAGAGACTCAGGATATTAGACAGTTTGGGATCTCAGAGCTATTAGCCTAGTACACAGTTTTAAGTCGATGTGGGGTGGAATAAAAACCTGGCAGGTTTTTTGATTGATGGTTTTCTTTTGTTTTCTCTAGTTTTGGACAAACAGTGCCCATATTTTGGATTTGAGTGAGCTTTAGCTGCTTGATAGATTGATCTAGTTTACAGGTACCCATCTGTATGGGTTAAACAGATCCATTTCCCCTCTTTTCTGAAAGACGTGCTGAAAGCTGGTACAAACAGGTCCCTTCATTAAAGTGGACTTTGAAAAAGCAAACATGGAAACCTGCTTTGGGATCATTTCATCAGACACCCACTTCTCCACCCCTCAAACTCCTACATGTAACTTCCCCAATTAGTCATGACTGTGACAAGGACTGATACAGAGTTACAGGGAAAGGAGACCAGTGGGCCTCCCGCCCTTCCCTTTGTGTCTCCAAAGGAGTGGAGGCGGAGAAGTCCCAGATCCTGCAGGGCCATTTAAGGAAGGCTGACTTGCAGCTCCCCACCCCACCCCCTTCTCTGCCAGGTGCTTATGGAAATCCCTGTCTGTCCTCCCAGGCTTTTTATTGGGTTGGGCAAGATTTTTCTTCCGAAATGCTCACCTTGGTGTCTGTTACACAGTCCCTTCCAAGTATAGCCCCAGATAAACCAGAGCCTATGAAGCAATCAGCTCCCCATCTCTTAACAGCTGCCAAAACCCTAAAATCCCCTAGAGGCACCTGTCACAGTCCAGGTTTGGCCTTTAGGGGTGTCCACTGTGTCTCACTTCCATCCCCTTTCAGGGCAGGAGGATGAGAATGAAGTTAGGATAGTCCAGTGAGCAAGATCCAGATTTGAATTTCAGATACTAGCTATGTGAGTTCAGATGTCACTTCTGTGAAATTCAATTTCCTCATCTATAAATTCATTCTTTTTTTTTTTTTTTTTCCTTTTTCATGGTACTAGGTCATGAACCCAGGGTCTCATGCATGCTAGGCAAGCACTCTACCACTGATCTATATCTCCAGCTCTTAATTCATATTTGATGAATAATTAGTTGTCACTAGCTGGGATGTGGGTATCTGAGTGTCCACATTTATTCCTTTAGTTGACAAATGTGAATGCCTATTTTATGCCAGCATTAGGTAGAGCTTGGGGTTACAGTAATGAATAAAGCAGGTAAGACTGACCGTAAATACAGGTGAGAATGAATGTAAAGAAAAAACATATAGCAACATGGCAGCTAATAATTTCTTAAGGACATAGAAGGCACTCAGGTTATGTTTTGAGCAAATGAACGGATGAATGAATAAGTACTCACTACCTTGGCTTATGCTTTTCCTCTCAATCTCTACTCTGTGGCTTCAGATCAGCCCTGGAGCTTGCTTGTAGGTGGGCAGGGAGGAATTGATCTGTTGGAATTCTTAAATGTGCTGTGAGGGCTGCTTGCCCAGTCAGTCAGTCACTTGCCCTGAGTGTGTCCCTGGGGAGCTGTGCACCCAGTGCTTCCCTCTGAAAGCTGTGGAGGCCAGATAAGGGAGACCTCCAATCTGAATCCAGAAATGGAAGGGCAGTGAGTCATTTTTAAGTGTTTTTTCATCTTTGATTAATTAAAAAGAAATCACTGGTCTCCCCATCCCTGTTCATCTCTCTTTCTCTCTTTTTTGTAAGTTACTTTTTTCTATACTGCAGCTTATGTTAGTTTTGATGTTTCTGCACTTTCCTTTTCCTTTCTCTCATCTACTTCTAACCCTCCGCATCTCCCCAAGGTCCATAAGGCATCTTCCCCAAATTTAGAAGATTCTTGAGGTAATGCGTCTTACCAGGTGAGGGGCATTGATTGACTAAGACACTCCTCTCTAAGCCTTAGTGCCCTCATCTGTACAGTGGGAATACTCTTACCCATGCCCTACGGTGGTGTGTCAAGTGCTCTATGAATATTAAATATGAGAGAGTCTCTGGAGTGCCGGGTGCTGTCTGAATTTGAGACTCTCCCATGTTTTATATCCTTGGTTCAAAAGTTCTCCTGAGCTCCCTCTTGCCCAGCAAACCAGCCAAACCAGTTTCCTCACTCTTCTGCTTCTGTGTTAAGCAAACACTGCTCTGCAAACAGTGACCAGCGTGCCTTTGTTGGGAAAGGAAATTCTGTGGCAGTTTTCTTATTTGCCACTGTGCAATGTGCTTGGGCTGGAGTGGGTTTCCCATGAGTTAGGAAGGTTGAATTGGGGTAAGAAGAGGGGATAAGGAGTCTCTGGTAGTGGGGAAGTTAGAATGGCCTTGAATCTGTCAGCTTCTGCTTTATTTATTTATTTATTTTCTTTTGGACTGGGATTGAGCTCAGGGTAACTTAACCACTGTGCCACATCTCCAGCCCTTTTAATTTATTTTGAGACAGGGTCTTGCTAAATTGCCGAGGCTGACTTTGAACACATGAAACTCCTACCTCAACCTCCCGAGCTGCTGGGATTATAAGTGTGCACCCTGTGTCTGGTT